CTAGGAATTGCTGTAAGTAAATAATGACAATGTTCATTATAGATAAAAAAAAAAAAAAAACTTTTTTTAAACATAGGGTGTTGCCGCATTTACTCTTTCACCTATAACATCTCAATCAATACAAGGTCAACTTCTATTTGGTATTAGTTTTATAGTTGCAATAAAAAGTACACTTGGTGCAACAATTCAAACAGCTATTCGTTTATTTGTTGCTGGTGCTATTTCTACTACTTATTGTCTTTTTATTATTAATTTTTGTCCACGTAATATTTATTATGCTATTGGTGCAACAAATCTTCTTGTTCTTCTTATTGTTTATACTGATTTACCAATAACTGTTCGTCGTTTTTCAATTATACCAACATGTATTATACTTTTACAATGGTTTACTAAATCACATATAAATAATTTTTATGTATTGCAAATTTGGACATCATTAACAATTGGTGCAACATTAGCTGTTATTGTTACATGTATTCCATTACCAGCTATACCAACTGCTTATCGTGAATTAACAATGCGTATGAGATTTATTGCTCGACAAACAAGACGTGAAATAACTGCAATTGTTTTACTTATATCAGAATATCATAATAAACATTTACGTGAAGAATCTGATTATCAAAAAAAACAAAATGAACAAACAACAAATACTTCTAATGAGAATGAAAATGATAATGGTATTGAAATGCCAGCAAATTCTTATCATGAAGATGATTTTTATCATTATTCAACATCACTCGAAAATTTAAAAGATGATCATTTACTTAAAAGTGATATACAAGATTTACATTCATTAGTTAATGATGAAGTAAAACAAATGCAACGTGCTTTAACTGAAATTTCATATGAACCATATTTTATATTATTGAAATTATTGAATTTCATACGAAGATTCTTACGACGTATTCCATTTATAAAAAAATATATTGAAAAAGATTCAACATTAGAAACACGATTATCAGTATGGACAACAAGTTTTGCTTCTATACAACGACAAATTACTGAATTATTAACATTAGAACAACATTATCGTGCATTTGTTGGTAAACAACAATTGATTAATGTAAGTTTATTTTGTTTTTTTGTGTAAAGAAGTAGGAGTAGAAATGAATGAACACTTTTTTCTGTAATTATACATAATAAATCAATTTCATATCATCAAGTAAAATTTACTTCAGAATTTGTTTATATGTATTAAACTTACCAGTATTTAATATAAATTTGATTTCTTTTTTTTTTTTTGTTTTCCAGGCAATATGTCTTCTTCTTGATTCAACATTTGATTTTTTGGATGCAACACTTCCATATACAACAGCATCAACTAGTTATTTTAATACAGCACAAATAATTGATTGTCGAACAAAAATTGAAGAAGCACTTGAAGATTTTTTTGAAACATATACACAAGTACGTGAAAATTCATATCATTCAACAATATCAAATGCAGATGCAATTTGTTTAAATACATTTCTTCTTCTTATTTTACGTCTTGTACATGCAACTATAACTGCTGCTGAAACAAGTAAAACTCCCGGTGCTCATTTCGATACTGATCTAGATTCAGCAGCAAATGTATCAAAATCAAAAAAATCATTTAATTGGAAAAAACCATTTCATGATCTTGCTGTTTATATTGGCATAAGACCATCATTTGGTAAATTAGTACGTTCAATAAAAACAAGTTTAAGTGTACTTCTATCCGCTATTGTTGTTATTACATATCGTGAACGTTTACAAGCATATAATTGGGTTCATTGGGCACCGATGACAACAGCACTTGTTTCTGATTCATCTGAAGGTGGTACACTTCGTCTATCATTCCATCGTTTAATGGCCGTTTTACTTGGTTCAACTTATGCATATGTTGTTGTACTTATCACACAAGATCATGTTGCTGTTGGAATATGTATTTGTTTATTTGTTGGATTAATGGGATATCTTAGAACAGATCCAAGAAGAGAATATTTTGCTACTGTCTGTGCACAATCAGCATCAATTATAACATTTCTTTCTAATCAACAAGGACAAATGAATGCATCAAATCGAGCTGCTTTAGCTCGAACAAGTTTAACATTTATAGGAATATTTATACATGTTATTATTTCTAATCTTCTTCTACCAATAACAGCTCGTTCATTAATTAAAAAAAAGGTAATCATTCTTTTACGTATGTTATTTAACCCTTTCCGATCCATAGCTGAATTAATAGACGAAATTTCTTTGAGACTTTATATTTTATATGAGCATTAAGCATTGTTGATATTTTCATCAAAACTTTTTAAAAACATCTTTAAAGTCATTTTCAGTCCATATCCGTACTCCTTCACAGGGATAGCGAAGAAGTATATTGGCCATCCCGGTAGAGGAGTACGGGTATGAGTCAAAATTCGATTGAGAGTTGTCGCCAAATCAACCTTTAGAATATCACTTCTTCTTTTTAGAATAGAAGTAGTGTTCCAAAGATCCATCAGGCTTACTACAAGAATGACCTCATTAGGGTGATAACCCTTGTATAGATTTACACATCGAAGTCTCTTTTATGTCAAAGCGAAAACGACATTTCAATATCTTTCTGCATTTGCGAGTTATTCAGAGATTGTGAAACTTGAAAAAAATGTACTATACTTAGTAGGCTAGTCCTGAAAGGGTTAAACAAACAAACACGAAAAAGAAAAGAAATCAATCTTTCATTCATCATACTTAGGTATCAATTATGATTAAAAATGTATCTGCTGCATTAAAATCAGCAAGTGATGATTTTTGTGTATTCATTGATCCATCAGTAACACGACAAGAAAATATATCATCAGATAAAGAACCATTTAATTTACTAAAAACTCTAGCAGAAATCGAAGGTATTGCAGCTAGTTTTCCAGCTTTACTTGATGAAGCATTAAATGAACCAAATTTTTGGAAACGACCATTTATACAAGTCAAAGATCGTTATGATGGTATATCCAAATCTTTACGTCGAATTAGTGCTAATATTCGTTTTGTTCATCGATGTACAACAATACTTGAAGCTGAATCAAAATTACATTTTGCTCAAGAAGCAAAGTAATTTTTCAATATATTTCTTAATACAAAAAATGTTTAATTATTTTTTTTTAGATGGCAAATGCGTCGAACAACTCTTGCTCATATTAATAATGATATTGATTCTAAACGACCTCGTTCTTGGACAGCAAAAGAATTACGTAAAGAACAAAATTTACAAAATGATATTGATGTACCATTAACAATTTTTATGACCTACTCTCCACAATCAGAACCAAGATTTGAACAAAAAACTCTCATATCAAAGAATTCAATAGCATCATTTCGTTTAGCTCATATAACATTATATCAGCCTATACTTGAACATATTCGTACACTTGAAAATCATATTCAAAAAGTTTTATCTTTATCAGAACAATTAATTGAAAAACAAGCAGCTGTTGATGTTGGATCATTTGAATTACAACAATTATGTCGTCATGATTCATATGATGAACAACAAATAAAACTTTTAAAAACTCAAAGAACTTTAAATCGTGCTCCATCTGTTTATCCAGTACAACAATTTGAAGCATCACCACTAGTTACAAATTATTATAAATTTTTTTCTTGTTGTAATAATTCACAAGAAGATAATGAACCATTACCATCATTACGTAATGCTGTTGATTTAATGTTTACATCATTAATACAATTTCTTTATGCTAATGATCGTTTTATTCGTACAGAATTTGTATCAAATCAATCGATTGGTGATGTTTTAGCATTTCATACATTATCATATGCATTAAAAGATATGGTTGAAGCTACAACTGAT